ATACTATAAAAATACTAAATCAAATAACAAAACTAAAAATAAAATAAAAGAAAAATAAAGAAATAGAAAATTATAGGCGTAACACTATTCATTAATTAATTGATTTAATAGATTTTTAAATTTAGGAATATCTATATATAATGATAAATTATATCATAAAATATTATTATAAATAAATTGAGAATTAAAGCATTAAATACTTTTAAATAGTGGTAATGCATTATGTTGCCTAATATGCTTCATAAACTTTGTATATGCCAAATTAAATACTTGCTCAAAAATTTCTTTGAAATGATTAATATTTAACTATTTTTGATTTATAAAAGAAATTATTTCATTTGTTAATAGCGAGTTGGCTATTCTATTTTGGAGTATTTCTTGCATTTGCTGAATTTAGAAGTAAACATATAATATAACTAAATTATTTCGAGTTTGAAAAAAATTCAAATCATGTATTAATTTATATTTATATTAGTATTAGTATTAGTATATATTTAATTATTATAAATTATATTTTAAATATTTACCTTTTTCTATTTAATATGATAAATATAGAAATTAATTCAATATGAATAACAGTATCTATAAACTATAGATACAAATTAGCAACTCTTTCCAAAGATTACTTGTACCAAAACTTCTTGCAAACATTTAATTATTTCTCAAAATTCTATTAACTAAATCACTTTTGGGCTACTAAGTAAAGTTGTTTACACTAAAATTTTACTTTAGAGTAGCCTAGTTTTATCTTTTCTAGACCCTTATTTGTGAAGATATTAAATAATCCTTATTTCTTAGTTTTTTTTAAATTATCCTAAATTTTTATTAAGTAAACTACTTCTAGGCTACTAAGTAAAGTTGTTCAGCATAAAATTTTACTGATAATTATATAGCAATAGATGAATAAATATAGCAATAGACATAATTTGTAATAAAAAATTACTTTGCTATTTTTGCTAAATTTGCTAATTTTACTAGCTATTTTTGCTAGCTATCTTTGCTATTAATAGCCGGTGGCCCTGGTCCGGAGTAGGGTTGCAAGATATAACTATACCGTATTATACTATTGGTATAATACTGGTATATTATACAAGGTATTATACTAGTTTATACTCGTATAATAAGTATAACACCAATAATAATTTAAGGTAGCCAATCAAATTGCAGTATTTATATATAATAAAATAAAGTAATATTATTGGCTAGAGATTATATAAGATTATATAGCAACGGTTAATACAGATACCACCTTATACGGTATAATACGGTATTATACTAGGTATTATACAATGATTTGTTATTATACCGGTATAATTGCAACCCTAGTCCGTGAGACTTTCCCTTGTGATTAGTGACGCATAACGGCCTTGCAGAGCCGTGAGCCGATCAATTTAGCCGAGCTAATTAATAGCTCAGCTCAAGAACAGCTCGGCTAACTAACGGCTCAGCTTGTGCTAGTTGAGCCGATTTAGAGCCATGGAGCTGATTATCAAGCTATAATCCATCGATCATTATAATAATGATATTTGAAAAAATTGGGTGCCCTAATTTCCCCCACCACTTTACTATCGGAATAGAAAAAAATTGATTAATAGAATAAATACTCCGCTAAGTGAATAATTAGTACAGCCAATTAGAAGTGGTGGGGTAAATTAGTAAATTCGAAAAAATTGGAGCTGCGGCCCTTGATCGGCTAGCTACAAAATGGCTCAACTAAAAAGCAGCTCAGCTAAAAATCAGCTAGCTACAAAACAGCTCAGCTAAAAATCGGCTCAGCTAAAAATCAGCTCAGCTTCATTATAGCGAGCCGTAGCTGAGCTGGAGCCAGCCGTTTGCATCACTACTTGTGATTTTCTTAAAATCACATGATTGTCCCATTACACTGTTTTTCTGCGGGTGATCCCATTTGTTGTATTTTTTCATTGTATTTCTTCCAATAGTTTAGGTCATATGTATTCGATTTTGTGAAATTGTTGGAGATGCCTTGGAACTTTTATTATTTAACCGCTTTTCATAAAGGAGTGTTTTACTAGCTTGTTTTTTTCTTGGGGGTTTGTCATTATTTGTTTGGCTTGACATGTTGGAAAAAGTAAGTATTTGAATTTTCGTGATACAACATTTATATATCGATATCGATATGCGTTTCTGTTTGTAATACGTAAATATTGCATTATCAGATCTTGATTTAATATTTAAATAAGATTTAAAGATTATTAAAATAATCATAAAATGGTTTTCATATCAGAAAAAGAAGTTGCTGAACATAATACATATCAAGACTGTTGGGTAATAATACACAATAAAGTTTACGATTTGACTAAATTCCTTCCGGAACATCCTGGTGGTGTAGGTGTGATTCTTGACCAAGCTGGTAAGGATGCGACAACTATTTTTGATACAATCCATCCACAAGATATAATTCTGCGTTATTTATCTCCTGATGTTTGTCTCGGGGAAGTCGACCCTGCAACTGTGTCCAAAACCTCTAATGTAGAAGTTAAACGACATTATGAACCGATTAAAAAAAAACCACCATTAAATGAAATATTAAATTTATTTGATTTTGAAGCTGTGGCTTCTCAATTATCGGCTGCTGAAGCTTGGTCCTATTTTAGTTGTGGTGCAAATGATGAAATCAGCTATCGTGAAAATCATAATGCTTTTCATCGTATTTGGCTTCGTCCTCGAGTCATGAGGGACGTATCTCATATAGATATGAGCACAAAAATTCTTGGTCATGATTCTTCCTTTCCATTATATATTACAGCTACTGCAATGGCAAAACTTGGTCATCCTGAAGGTGAAGTTCTTTTAACTCGTGCAGCTCATTCGCATGGCATTATTCAAATGATACCTTCTTTTGGTTCTTGCTCATTGGAAGAAATGACAAGTGCTCGTGAAAAAGGGCAAATTCAATTTTATCAATTATATGTAAATAAGAATAGAAATATAGCACGGAAAGTTATTCAAACCGCTCAGGAAAATGGTTGTAAAGCATTTTTTATTACTGTAGACGTTTCAGTGATAGGTCGTCGTGAGAAGGATATGCAAATTAAATATGATGGTGCTCTGCCAAATATTATAGATGAAAACAATGAAAACGATAATTATCTAAGACGTGATCAAGGTGCTTCAGGAGTTGCTGCTTCTCTTATAGATCCGAGTTTTAATTGGAATGATCTAAAATGGATCAGGTCTATTACATCTTTGCCTATTGTCATCAAAGGTATTCAAACTTTAGAAGATGCAATACTTGCTGCTGAATATGGTTGTGATGGTATAGTACTCTCAAATCATGGAGGACGTCAACTTGATTTTGCCCCTTCTGCTATAGAAATCCTTCCGGAAGTTGTCGAAAGTTTAAAGAAATTAGGTTTATTTGATAAGATCGAGATATACATTGATGGTGGCATTCGTCGTGGAACTGATATTTTTAAAGCTATTGCTTTGGGTGCAAAAGCTGTTGGGCTTGGTAGACCATTACTTTATGCTATGTCTTCTTATGGACAGGTTGGTGTTGAGCATGCTTTACAAATATTAAAGGATGAATTGGAGATTACAATGCGTCTATCGGGTGCGAATACGCTTGCAGACATTTGTCCTGAGATGGTTGATATTAAAAATCTAACCAATCATTCGATTACACCCAAAGATTATTTGTCTTCTAAAGTGTACAAAAGGCTTGTTCCTAGACGAAGTAACTTATAAATCAATATTTATACTCCCCAATACTTTACGCATTTTGTTCTTTTTGTTTAAAAATGAGGTCGTCCAAAGTTGATTAGTTGTTTAACCCCCTCAGTCAGCCGTCCCCCCCAAAAAAATTAAACAAGTCAATCACAAGGCAGAATAAAAAAGAAAAAATTTTCGACTAAAATTTTTACGAAAAAGTTCCGAAAATCGTGTTTATTCTAATGTGTTTGTTTAAATTATCGCCTCTCGTCGAAAAATTTAAAATGGTGACATTAAACAACAAATTAACTTTAAACGGCCTGATGTAGAATTGTAGTGTTAACTTTTGTGATAACTAGTATTTTTTTTTTTTTTTTTTTTTTTTTTTTTACTTAATCATAGAAGAATTTGAGTTAGAGAAATTTCGCACTAATAGTTTTTTTATAATTACTGGTGTAGTATCCGAAAAACCTAGAGAATCTCAAAAAAATAAATATAGAAAAAAAATTCATTGGTTTCCGCGTCACATTACTGTACCAGTGACACGTTCATAATATAATCTACAACGAAATTTATCAAATAAAAATTCATTTGTAAAATCGAAATTCCGCATGTAAGGCCATTATCCCAACTTCACGATTTATTAAACTTTCGACTACAGTAAATGTCATTGTTATGTCGCAGGTATTGCTAGGTTACTGTATTCTTACGATTGAATCAGAACGATTATAACAATTACGCACGCGTGATCTGTTATACAATCTGATTGTTTATATAAACTATAAAAAGGGCGAATATACACTATTTCTTGGCAAAAAAATTTAATTTTTCGTTCGAGCAAAAAAAAAGATCCATGTCTTTTTCATCAGCCAATGAAGTTCAGAAATGGTTGCGAACTGATGTTATTAAGTTATTGCGGAGTTAATTAAATATACGATCTACATAATTTTATTGTTAAAATTTTTGATTTCTCAACTATTTCTTATAAGTGAATTGGATAAATGTGACTACATATATTCTATACAAACCGTAATAAAGCTCGTGAGCATTATTTCGAAAATTGGGTCCTTTAAAATAGCATGTATACTGTTGTTATCCGGCATTGATGATGACAAGCAGAATAATAACAACGTACGTGTTCTTTTGTACACAAAAGTAGAAACCGAAATATCTAATGTGCTTACGAATTAGATATTAAAATATTTAGGATAGAATCCTCTGCTACTTCCGCCCCTAGAAAAATGCTTTCTATCCCAACGGTAGGAATTGATTCTATGATAATCGTTTAATCGAATCTAGAATCGATTCTAATTTTGAGAATCGTTTTAATCGATTCTTCCAATGACCTAATTGGCTGAGCCCGCATTAGGGTAATGCAGGCCAAATGATCAAATATTTAACTGGTCAAAAATTGGGATATTATTTTCTTCCAATAAAACCAAGAATAAGGCTAAACGTCAATATTTTGAGCTCAAGCACGGGGATTTATAACGCTTTGCAAAAAGGTGTGACCCTGTGATTTTCTTTGTGATGACCTCTGAGATTTAAATTTCCTATCAAACTAGAGATGGGCAAAGTTAGTAACAAATTATTATTTATTATTTTCCTACAATTTTTTACGTAATAAGAATAAGTAAAGAATTATGATGTATGCAAAATTCAATCTGATCACTTAAAAATCGTAACAAGTAATAATCATTTATCATAAGCAATAATTGGTAATAACGATAATACGTAAGTGTAAGTACTTGGTAAAAATACGTAATTATTACTTGCATCATTACCTTGCCCATCTCTATATCAAAACGTATACTGTTGACCCTCCCCAAACCGATATGTCCGGTGGCCAGATTTTAATCAGTTTTGATAGGTTTATCGATTTTAAAAAGAATTTATATAGTAAAATGGAAAGTTTTTAATCGGCTTTGACAGGTTATCAGTTTTGACAGTATCGGTTTAAGGAGGTTCGACTATATTTCTAAAATCTCCGAAAATCGGAAAATCGCATGATTTCCTGTGATTAGAGATGGGCAAAGTCAGTTACATATTATCGTTATTACTTAATATTACTTATTGCGCTTTGCAAAAAGGTGTGACCCTGTGATTTTCTTTGTGATGATAGAGGAAAACTTAAATTTCCTATTGATCAAATATTTTAGTATATACCGATACGTATTGTCTAAAATCTGTAAAATTCTGTAAAATTCGGAAAATCACCTAATTTCCCGTGATTTTCACATGACATCATGATCTGCAAGGTCACACCTTTTTGCAAAGCGCAATAATATTACTGTGAAATAGGTAATAATAAGTAATTTTATAATAATTTGATTCTTAGCAGCAATGTTTTGTTCAATCTCAATTTTGATCATTCGCCTCCGACTGTTATCATGTGTTTATATATATATACATAATAAGTAATAGAATGTAATAAATATTTAATATTATTTAATATTAAGTAAGGGATAAATCATAGGTCATTATTACTTACAAAATTACTTTGCTCATCTCTACCTGTGATTTTTTGATCTGTAAGGTCAGCAAAACGCAATAAAGTCAGGAATTAGAAAAAAGCAATTGAGATATTGGATTAAGAAATGCATTTGTGCAACATACGTTATATTTTTGACAATAATTATTATTAATTGCTTTAAGTCTATTAACGTTAATGTTTACTAGGAATAAAGCATTAAACAAATACATATTAATTGATCATTTTTCAAAATCGACGTATCTTCTTTGATCTAGTTTATTACAAAATTTTTGATATAAGTAATATCATCTTTAATTCAATAGCCTGATTCATTGGCATAAAAAATTAAAATTTATTATTATTCACATTAAAACACTCTTCTCAAATCTTTTTCACTTACATTTTCATTATTAATATTATTTTAAGAGATATAAAAATCATTATAATAGTTTTTTTAAACGGGTAACAATGTTAAATGATAAATTTTTGTGTCACATTAACGTTGATCGATAAACAATAAAAATTAATAAAATAAGTTTTTTTTTTTTTTTTTTTAATCAATAAAAAATTTTTTTAATCAAGCAATTCAAGCAACTTTTTTAAAGGAGCCAACTATGAAAAATACATAATATTAAATCGAATACATGTTTTCAATGAATCTATAATACTACAAATATAAATCTAATACATCATATTCGATTTTTATTTTAATCGATTTGAAAGGGTACATTGTTTTTCAAAATTTAATAATATCCAGGATTAATCATTCCACCTATAAAATAGTTAGCGAATTAATAATATTAAAAAAAAAGAAAAATTCTCAAATTTTGAATTTCTCACACTTACCATAAACCGGATAGTATAAAAGTTCTGACTTTTTAATTACAGGAATAGAATCTTTTGCCATCTTCCAATAATAAGCATCATACCAAACTTCTGGACTTTCAGGTAATCCAAGTACACAAAACCCGGGATTTCTTCCAGCATATTCTGCCATTAATCTTAAAAAATGTAATTCTAATGTTTTATCCTCACCTCCGACATTATAAAATTCCATTATACAAATAGGTACTTGAATATTTTGTAAAAGAATTTTAAGTTGAGTGACTGAAAAATTTATGCACATTCCTAAATATTTAAGGCAAGGTGGGAATGAGCTAGCGAGAGTTTTAATAGATTTTGTTTCCCATGATTGTCTAGTAGTTCCACAACTATTTGTCATCCATGAACGTTGTTGTGAAGAATGACTACAACAAGATTGAACTATGATTAAATGTTCAATGCTAGGTAAAAACTGAAGTGTGGTGCAAAGAGAAGAAAGGTCGATAGTATTAATAATAGTTGATAGATGAGTAAGATTTCGACAATATTCAACAAGTATTTTACAAAGTCTAGGAGTTATACATTCTTGTACTGAGAATACTTTTAAATGACGATTTGCTAATCGAAGTAGTAATCCTACAAAGTTATCCAAGATTTTTCGATCAGGTCCAACTTCATAAATTAACAATTTTCTAATAAAAATCGGAGGAAGTGTGTCAACATTAATCTTTGTAAAATCTTCATTAATCTGTGGTTTCCATAAAACCAAAGTTTCAAGATGAGCCCATAAGTTTAGAATCGGAAGAAGTTCAGTAATCATGGATATATTATTAATTCTTAAATATTTTAGGTGACTATGAATTGATAAACATAAATTATTTGAAATGTTGGAATCCCACCGACCATCAAATTCAAATGTTTCAAGATTGACTTGTTTGTTAACTAATTTACATAAAAGAGGAACTATTGGTTGAGTTTCGAGTAAACTTGGCATATTAATAGTAACTTGTCTAATAACCGTTGAAGAATCTATAATCTTGTTAAGTAGACCTAAAATTTTTTCTTCTGTAACATTTTTACTTGCAATTTCACTCCAATAAGTTAATTCAAATTTTTGAAGGTTTCGTAATACTTGACCAGCTCTTACGTAAGATGCAAAATCCGGAAAACTACAAATAAGGTTACCTTCTTCGTCAAAGTAATTATTATACTCTTGTTCTAATTTCAATAATCCCATACCATGAATGTGATTCAATAACACATTACTAAATAATTCAATACCATCTATCACTCTTTTAAGACTTTGAACATTATCAAAAGGAACTGACCACCATTTTTGAACGGTTTGCCGGAAATTTCTCGAATCGAACGCTCGAAGATATTTAGGATAATCAAATAATGGAGTAGGAAAAGGAGGAAACCAATGTTTCAATTTTTTAGATAGCATTTGTCTTTCTTCAGGAGTCAAGCATGATAGATATGAATGAACTATACTAGTTGCAGCTTTTTTTCCGGAAATTATGAGTTCAAATGGTCTACTCCATAATATAGGGACTACAAGCCTACAAAATAGTCGATTGGCAAGAAGACAAGAATATAATGTTGTGCGATCATTTTTTAGCTGGTATAAAATATCAGCAATACAATCAGATGTTAACATTGGAGGAGGATTACGAAGATTTTTAACAGACATTATTATTAAAAATTTTTGAACAGTATGAAAACAATATCAAATAATTAAGCATTTTTTGTCATTATATGAATTGACAATAATGATAATGCAGTAACCTGCCGAATCTGCATTCAACTTTTTTAAAAAAGGAAATATTTCGTCACAGTTAACCGTTTTCACGTGATTGCTTTCAGGATGTCCGTGCAATTGTATAAAACCCCTCACATCAATGATGCATAAAGAGTAGGTAACACGCATACATAATTATCTAATCTCATCATATTTGATGAAACGGAAATTATAAAAAATTAGTTTCCATAACAAATAACGATAATGATAATTATAGCGGTAGAATTTAAATTCAATTTTGAATCATTGTCGCAGCGTGATTAGTCAATAAGATCGCAAAGTCAGGTGTAACGTAAATCAATGTTCTTAAAAATTTGACCATAACTCAAGAATTCGCTTATTAAATTATCTTCTGCGTTCTAACAAAAATTTCCATGCAAATTTTAGTATGAATTACGCTCTACCCATGCCATAAATCAAGCCTAACTTGAAACCTAATAATAAGGCTTCATCGCATTTTATTTATTCACATTACATAGTATTGACTATCTATTTTCTGTGATTATACCGCAGATTTTCAAAAAAGCGTGCTAAATACAGAAATAGACCTTAATCACTGCATAATTCCACATAATGTCATAAAACAGCACAAAATCCTGAAGAAATCACCAAAAAATCAGAATCCTAAAAAAATTGCAAATTTATATCGGGAAATTTCAGAAAGGTGGACAAAATAATAAACATAAAATTCGGGCGTGTTAAGCTGGATTCTCTGGATAATAAAAATTTTGGAATAGTAAAGCACATAAGTAGTACAGAAATAGTGCAAAATCTCTCAAAAATAGCGCGGAATCTCACTGAAAATCAGTAAAAATAAAGTTTTATAATTGATTTAAAAATATAAACTAAATTACGGTCAAAAAGCGTTCAAAATCCAATTAAAACAAGTTTTCATCATCCAAATTTTCAAAATCCACATAAAACAAATTTTTTTCTAGAATTAAAACAAAACAAATAAAAATTCAAATTCAAATTAAATAAAAATGTTGTTTTACAAAATTTCAAAAAAGATTTATTTACCTTCTTGATGTTTATTATTTCCACTCGGTTTATTTTTTCTACTATCGGTATGCATATTCTTTTCACAGTCATTATTAAAATTATTCATATATTCATCATGCCATTCGGTCTGTTTTTTAATGTTCGAATAGCTTTTATATTCAAAAAAAAAAAAAAATCAAATCAAAAGAAATAATTAGAAAACTAATCATTAGAGAATAAAGTTAACCAATCAATCAATAACCTATTGAAAAAGTAGAATTATTACCTAGACCCAGCATCAGAATATTTATACGAATAAATATTATTTGTGGATCTTGAAAAGGATTCAGAGGTCAAAGATCTAGAAGATTCATTCTTCATCGAATATTTTTCGATTAATTCTTTTTTAAGGTTTAAAACTTTTCTAAATTCATTATAGCTATTGGTCAATTTCTCACGGCGATTAATTATTTCTTGTTCCATGG